TAATTAATAAAATTTAATTAAATAAATTTAAATGAAAAAAGTCTAAGGAGGGAGATAACATGCAAACAGCCAGCATATGTACAAACAAGATGCAAGCAGGATAAATTGGAGATAAGCAAGAGAGGGAAGGGGCTAACATTAAGAGGGACTGCATGAATTTTTTGTCCTTTTTTTTTTTTTTTTGGCAATTGGGGTTAAGTGACTTGCCCAGGGTCACACAGCTAGTAAGTGTCAAGTGTTTGTTCTGAGACAAGATTTGAACCCAGGTCCTCCTGACTTTAGGGCTGGTGTTCTATCCACTGCACCACCTAGGTGCCCCAATTGCATGAATTTTTAAGAATAATTTTGTTGCATTAAACCCAACTTTGCCTCTTAAGCAGAGAGGTAGGAGTAGCTACTTAAAATTGCCTGTCTTTTGCAGATGAGAAAACTGAGACTCAGAGGAATTAAGTGGATGGCCAAAGGTCAGTTTTTAGAATTGAAGCTAGGATTTGAAGCCATATCCAGCCAGGTTTTCTGACTCCTAAGTCCAGTATGTCGTCCATTCCACAATGGACCTTAAAATACGGAATATAGAATGTCAGAGCTAAAATGTTCTTGAGTTCATAGAATGTAAGAATTGGGAGAGGCATTTGAAACCATCTAACCCCAAACCCCTTACTTTATTTTATTTTTTTTTAATTCTTAATTTTGAGTTATTATACTTTTTCTGAATTAGTTTATTCTTGGCAAATCTTAAATTTCAAGTTTTGATATTGTTTCCTAATGTCCAATTCCTTGTTCAGAAACAAGATCTGTGTTTATAATCACCCTAGACCTGAAGAAAAAGTGGAAACCAAGGCAATTTTTTGGTTTGACCACTATTTAGAGAAATATCACAAACCCCTTATTTTACAGAGTGGGAAACTGAGGCTCAGAGAGTAGAAATGACTTTCCTAATGCCACAATAAACCCAGAAGTGAAGCCACAAGGCAGGAGCCATGTCTCTCTCTTTACAGTAGTGTGGATACGGGGAGATTCCTGAGGGCTGAGTTCGTGTCTCTGTCTTTATCTGGCTCCCTGGGGGACCCTACGTTCTCTGTTGAATACAGTCTGTTGACCTGTGTGGCAGGTGTGAATGTATGAGAAGAACATTCCAGGTTCAGCCTGTGACAGATGAATGCTCATCACACACTCACCAGGGCAGGGGATGGGGCACAGGAAGGAATGATGTCTTTCCTTTTGAGAAGATTGACTTCAAATCAATGAAAATAGTGTCGTCAGAGTGAGAAGCCCTGGCACCCTATGGGGGAAGCAGCCCTGGGCTGGGCATCAGAAAACCTAGATTCCAATTTTGGTCCTATCATTGACTTATGTGGTGTGCAAGCCTTGGGCAATCACTTTTCTCTTCTTGGAGCCTCAGTTTCCTCATCTTTAAAATGGGCATGGTAATTCTTTCTTTCAATGCATATCTCACAAGATTTTTGTGAGGATCAAATGGAAGTCTGGATGAGCTCATATTTTGTAAACTCTAATAGTAACAATAACAGCAACAACAATAATAACAGTGAACTTGTGACTTATGGTTATCCAAAGAATTTCCTCATAACAACCCTATAAGATAGATATTATTAACCTCACTTTCTAGAGATGTAATGGAGTATAGTGGATAGAGTACTGGTCTAAGAATTAGAAAGTCCTGGGTTCAAGCCATCCCCTCCCCTCCTCCAATACATATTGGCTGTACGACCCTGGGGAAATGATTTAACCCCAGCAGCTCCCCAAGATTCCAAGTTGCAAAGCAGGTACAAATCTGCATTGGTGGAGGGATTTTCCTCACCAGAAGTTCCCGACCAACAAAATCATAGGTTTGGTCGAGAGAGAGAGAGAGAGAGAGAGAGAGAAAGAGAGAGAGAAAGATTGAGGTTGAGGCTCAGAGAGGTTGATTAGTACTGGAGGTCACACAGCTAGTAAATGTGAGATCCAGCTCAATTCGTCCTGACTCCAAATCCCATGCTAAGCACTGTGGACATGCCATGAGTTGTTTGTTTAAAAAAAAAAGTTCATTTTATTTTTCATCCTAAGTTGGCCGGCTATGGCTTTTATGCCACAGGATGCACAGGATAGAAGGAACCATGCAAAGTCCTTTCAGCCATCCCCAGGCTTCACCAGAGAGATGGACAGTGAATCGATTTTCTTTTCCGAGACCTCCAGGGAATTAGTCAACCAGCAGCTGTGATTGATGTTAACTGAGCCCTTGCTGGGGAGGCAGCATGGTATATCCTGACTTGGCTGGCAGGTGGGGGTTGTGGGGTGGGAGGAGGTAGAGAAGCCTAGGTTCTCCTCCTGGCTTCTCTGCTAACATGCTCTGTGACCTTGGGCAGATCATTTCACTTCTCTGATACTGTTTCCTCATAACCATAGTAACAGAGCTCATTTCTACTCGAGCTTACAAAAGAACCCCGCGGGGGGGGATGGTACAGAATTCTCATCCCTGTTTGACAGGGAAGATTCAGAAAAGGAGATTGCCCAAGGTCAGGTAGCTAGGGACGGCTCCTGACCCCACAGCGAGGCTCATGGGAGAATCAAAGGGAAAAGGACTCTGGAAGAGTCTAGTGGTAGGAGAATGAGAAGGATGGCTGTGGGCCCACTCAGTCACCCTCACCAGGTGCCTGCTAAGTGCTGACTCTCAGTGGCCAGCACCATGACTTTTCTATATGGGTCGCTGAAGTCAAGAAGATAAGGGGCTTAGGGCAGCTGGGTGGTGCAGTGGATAGAGCTCTGGCCTTGGAGTCAGGAGAACTTGAGTTCAAATCTGGCTTCAGACACTTGATACTTACTAGCTGTGTGACCCTGGGCAACTCACTTAACCCCAATTGCCTAGCACAAAAACAAAAAAAGAAAAAAAAAAGAAGATAAGGAGCTCCTGGACCTGAGGGCAGAGGGGAGGAGAACCCCTGGATCTGCTGGGGAGATGGGGACCTTAGACATGAAAGAGCTGAGGAGCAAGGGGCTGGCTGGTCAAGTTGGACCTCCTCAGAAAGAAATGTCCACTCCTTGATTACCAGAGAGCAAACAGCCTAGTACACTGGAACAAGCTTGGATCTGGTCAGAGGACCTGGATTCCAATCTCACCTCTGATACTAACTGGCTATGTGACTGTGGACAAACCATTGAACCTTTCTGAGTCTCAGTTTCCTTTTTTATAAAATGGTGGGGTTGGACTAGATGGCTTTGGAGGTTCCTAACAGCTATGAATCGATGGTCCTCGTGATTAAGGATCTGCATTGAAAGGGACTCCATAGTGGCAGTCATGGAAGGCTTCCTGGAAGAGAGAGTATGACATAGTCACTACACTGTATTGGAAGGAACAGGGGACTTAGGGCCGGTTGTGGTTGTAGTTGTGGTTGTTGTTGAGTCATTTCACTCGTGTCCGACCCTCCGTGACACCGTTTGGGGTTTTTTTGGCAAAGATCCTGGAGCGGTTGGCCATTTCCTTCTCCAGCTCATATAGAAGAGCCCAGAGACCCAGCTCTGAATCTTGGCTCCGTCAGATCAGTAGCTGTGTGTTCCTGGACAAGTCCTTTCTCCCTCTTGGGGCCTCAGCTTCCCCCCGTGTAAGATGCAGTTACTGGGTTGTATGATCTTTAAGGTTCTTTCGATGACCGAAGCTCGTTGGATGGATGACTTGTGGCCGTGCCTGCCCCCGCCCCCACGGCGATGGGGAGGTTCTTTCTCCTGCTGCCCTCATGAGAGGAGCTCTCACTCCTCAGGCTTGTTTGTTCCCCAAGACCCCTCTGCTGCCCTCTTCTAGCCTCCCCCAACACTCCTCTACTGGACATGAAGTTGTAGAGGGGAAGCTGAGACACTCCCGTTCCCTGCTTAGGTGCATACACATGTGCATGCAGGCGTGTGCCTACACACATACAGGCACACCTTCAGGGCTTTGCACTCTCACATAAAACAAAAAGCCAAAGGTTCACGCGTGCACACACCTCCCCAGCCCACTCGACCTTACGCAGCGTCACACATTTTCTCAAGTGCACATAATCTTGGACAGATGTGCATTCTTTCACACCCCTATCCACTCACCCATATGCATACCCCCTCCCCCTTCCCCTTTCCCTCTTTGTTTTCCCCTGTGGAGTCTTTGCTTTCCCCCTCCCCCACCCGGCCAGGCTAGTGGGGGACTTGGGCCCGTAGGAGTGTGTGTATTTGTGTGAGTGAGTATGGGTTGTTTTTTTTTTTTTTTTTGGTGGTGGTGGTGGGGGTTGGGGGCTGGCTGTTCTCCAGACTTCAGCAATTGCCTGGCATCTCTACCCACTGCTGGCTGGGTAGGCAACTCTCTCTGTCTCTGTCTCTTTCTCTGCCTCGGTCTCTGTCTTTCTCCCCTCTCTCCCCTCCCTAGTTTCTCTCCCCCATCTCTCATTGCTCCCCTTTCTATCTCTTTTGCTCAGGCCCCCCTCTGTGACTCCTTCCTGCCTTCCTCTTCCTCACCCCTCTCCCCGGGTTTATTGGGCTCAGGCTCAGAGGGCTTCTGCTGCCTGGGGGCGGGTTTGGGGGGGGAGGGAGAAGAAGGAAGAAGCTCTGGGGCCTCAGGGGGAGCAGAGAGATGGAGACCAGGCATCTAGGGGCTGGGTGCTGGGCTGTGGGCAGAGGTGAGGGGGTGCCTGGGCCAGGGCAGGCTGTAGGTGGGAAGATTTTCGGCAGATGGATAGCTAGATGGACTGATGGACAGACAGAGGCTGTAGGACAGACGGACAGCCGGCCGGCCTGCCAGGCGAAGTCCCCTTGGCTGTATTGTGCTGGCCAGTGATCCCTTAATGATTTCATTCCTCCCTTCTCTGCTGCTGCCTCCTCTCACGCTGTGTTTTCTCTCCTTCATGTGTGTATGTCTCTCTCTCTCTTTCTCTCTCTGCCTCCCTCCTGCTTGGCCTCCCCCCCCCACTTCACCGCCCGCCCCCCCTTCACCGCCTGCCTCTCCGGCCCCCCACCCCAACCGCTACCTCCACCCCTTCCAGATCTTCCTCCTCCTCCTCCTCCCAGCTCGGCCCCTGGTCCTGGCGAGGCTGCCGCACGGTGCCCCTCGATGCTTTCCGAACCCGCTGCCTCTGTGACCGCCTGTCCACCTTCGCCATCTTAGCCCAGCGCAGCGCTGACGGGGTAAGTCCTGGGGAGACCCAGGGAAAGGGAGAGGAAGAGGGAGACAGAGGGAGAGAGAGAGATAGAGAGAGAGAGAGAGAGAGAGAGAGAGAGAGAGAGAGAGAGAGAGAGAGAGTAAGAAGAAGAAGAAGAGAGGGTGAGGAGAGGGAGAGGGAGGAGGAGAGAGGAAACAGGAGGCAGGGAGGGAGAAAGATGCTGAAAGACACACAGGCATACCATGCATATAGACTTGGACTGGGAGGGAGAGAGAGAGAGAGGGAGAGTGTTGGTGGGTTGGGGGGATGGGGAAGAAGAGAGAGACAGAAAGACAAGATGGGAAAGCTTCCCCAATGACATTGAAAGCGATAGATAGAAGGCGTCAGGTGCCTGCTGCTGGCTGTGCTTCTGCCTCTCCCTGCCTTGGAACCAGGGGACCAAGGGACCTGGAGGAAACTGGGGGAGGGGACCAGGGGTTTGTTCAGAGACCCCGTGGGTGGCCGGTGCCCAGCGAGGAAAGACAAGCTCCGGTCAGAAGTGACTTAACGGGATGTTCCAATAGCTGCACAGCTTGGGACAAGAATGGGGAAGGGAGGGAGGGAGAGCAGGAGGTGTCAGGCAAGGAATTGGTGTGCGGGGCTGTCCGATGCCTAGCACTAGGGGCACCCCGTGGGAAGATTGGGTTCCAATGAATCCGGGACAGCTCCATCGCTCTCACTCCCCTCTCCTGTGCTTTCGTGGTCCTCCCGTCTCAGTCCCTGAATGTCTCCTTCCCTGCTCCAAAGTAATCTAGGGATTGAGCGGTCCAGGGGGGATCGCAGGGGGAAGGGTATCTTTGCCATGGGACTTCTTCTGTGCTGGGGTCTCATGGTGGGGTTGGGAAAAGAGCAAGAGTTTTGGCTAGCCAGGTCTGTCAGAAAGTTGGCGTTCTCAGACTTTAGACCTGCGAATAGAGCAGAGGAAGCTGGGAGCTGAGTATTCTGGAGAGACTAGAAGAGTGAGCTGTGGAGTCTGGGGCATGGGAGGGGACACTGAGGGGAACCAGTGCCTGGGAGAGGGGATTTAGGGTTTTGAAAGTCTTGGAAGGGGTTTGGGCGGGCTGAGGTAGATCTGGGCTCTGTGGCTCAGGGGGAGAACTCTGAAGTATTTGGGGACTAAAGGGAGAATGAGTGAATCAGAATCAGTGAGAGAAAGGTGAGGCCCTGGGGGAGTGGAGACTACAATGGGGAATGGAGAAACTTGGACATCTGACTTGGGGAGCTCATGGGCCCTGAGAATGAGAAGGAAGAGCTGAGAGGAGGGGAGGGTGGGGACTAAGAAATGGAGCAAAAGAGACCCAGAATCCAGGAGCGGTAACTGAGGGTTATGGGACCTGAAAGAGAATCCTGAGAGGGCTCTGAGGGCTTGGGAGGAAATCAGAGAGGGAAAACTAAGGAGTGGCAGAGAGGTAGATGGGGGCTTTAGAGAGCAGAGAGGGAAAGTTTAGTGGGGGAAGCTGAAAGGTCTTGAGGACTGGAAGAATATAGGGAAAACTCTAAGGGCCTAAGAAAAAGGGCTGAGGAAGCCCAGAACCTGGGAGAAGGAACTGAGGGGTCTGGAGGTCTGGGAGGGGGACCTGAAGAGGCTTAGAACTTGGCATATGGAACATAGAGGACACCAAGTTTACCTGGAATGGCAGAGATGGAAGAGATCTTAGGGACTGGTGAGAGGGGCTGAGAATTCCCTTTTTCTCTGTTTAATAGGGATGTCTGAGGCCCAAACCTTAGTGGTAAGAGCCTGAGAGGAGAGGGACGGATGGTGGTGGTGGTTGGAGGAGGGGAGGGTTGTTCCTAGAACATCCCTCCTCCTCCCTCTCCCTTAAGGCTCTGGCTGTCTGTGTGGCTGGGTCTCAGCGCACTCCTGGGGGGGGAGCCTTTAGAGCCTCGGTGCCTGGGTTCTGCTTTGGGGGCGCCAGGGAATTGGGGCAGAGCTGCTCTAGCCATGTCAATCAGGCCCATAGGAAAAAGGGAGGACCAGGCATCAGCCAGAAGGAGAAGCAGGAACAAAAGACCAGGGCTGGAGCTACTTTGTTAGATTTTCTGGTATGTGAGTTATTATTATTATTACTAGTGGTGATGTCTCCAATAAAGAACTCAATGCATTTGGGGGTCTTCGGGTTTCCATGGGAACTGCAGTGGCTCCAGGGTACGTAGGAGGGATAGGATAGAACTCACTAAGATAGGACAGGCCAGCAAGCCCACCCCATGCTGTCACTCTCTACCTTACAGACCTGTTGTAAACGAATCTTTCAGAAAACCTTAAAGTGTCCTAAAGATAGGAACTGTTATTCACTTTGTCATAGGTCTCCTCCTACTGAGAGGGTCCTCCAGGGCAAGGTTTATCCCAGGCATCTACTCCCCACCAATTTCCTACCAAGTCAACCATTTTTAAGGGAATCTATCTAGGCCAGTTTGGGGATCGAGCACAACCAGGAATGATCAGAGTTTTGTGGCCTCATCTCTCAATGTCTAAAGAGGCTAGTAGGCAGAACCTGTGCATCCAAGATATTGCTAGGGAAAAAGAGAAATGAGTCCTAGTCTGAGAAGGGAGAGACACAGCCTCTGTCCTCAGGAAGTCCCTGGTCTGCGGTGAAAACAGGGGCCTATATATGGAACTGGCACCCATCTATCTGGTATCAAAGCAGTTATAAGATTAAATCTAGTTAACTCAAAGGGGCCTCTGTCTTTCCTGCTGTAAAATAGGGGTGGGACTAGATGGCTTTGTAAGGTTTTTCTCAGTGTGATAGGATATGGAATTCTTGTTCTGAAGAAATCAGAAAATATCTATTAACTCTATTTAAAATACATGGTTGGGCAGGGAGCATCTGGAGGTCAGTAGCTGAGGGAAGTTCCCCTGGCAGATGGCAGTTAAGTGGGCTTGATCTAAGAAGACTGCCTGGAGGAGACAGCTGGGTATCTCCGGTCATCACAGGAAGGGAAGGGTCAAGATTCCACAATGTCTCTTAGTTCTTCCCTTTGGGTTTAGTCAAAGTCTCTGACACAGATTAGGAATAATAGGACCAAATTCCTTTAGAGCTAGAAAGCAATAAATCTTAAACCCCTTATTTTAGAAGTGAGGAAAGCGAGACCCAAAGGTGGGGAAGGCAATCATCCAAGAGAACCCAGCAAAGTAAGTCAACAAGTATTCATGAAATGCTTACTCCATGCCAAACAATATGCTAAGCTCTGAGAATACAAATGAAAACAAACAAAAAAGACCCTGCTGCCCTCTGTGAGCTTACATTCTAATGGGGGAAGACAAGCATTCTAAGACATGAGGTGGGGTGGGAATGAGAAGAAGGTACCCTTGAGGGTGTGGTCGCCAAGTCAGAAGAGTCAGGATTAAAATGGGAAAAAGAGACAAGGAGTAAACATGATTGGCCTAGGCACTTCTTCAAAATGGAGGTTCCAGGAGATCTGGAACTCTCCAATGGGAGAAGAGGGCCTCAAGGGCAGAGGGATCTTCTAAGGCGAGGAGGCTGCAGGGGTTAGAGGTGGTCTGGATCAGACTTCAAGGTCAGGCTCCTTTCCGCTACAACACAACGCAAGGTGACTCAAGTCACAGACTCCTGGACAAGTGGGGGGGAGGCTTCCTAGCCAGTACAGAGCGGAATTCTCCCTGGTCTAGGATGAACTAGAACATCATAGAATCATAGAACTACAAGGGACCTTTCGGTGTTTGGTAAACCTTAAAGTACTTTATCCTTGTGCCTTGTTATTATTATTAATATTATTATTAGTGGTGGTGGTGGTGGTAGTATTATATCCAACTACCTCGTGTTATAGACTGAAAACTGAGGTCCAGAGAGGGGTCACAAAGTCATCCAATAAGTCAGTGTCAGAGCCTAGACGCTGGACTTGAACCCAGGTCTTATAGCTCCCAGACCAGGACTTCTCCCTTCTGCCAACATCACCGGAGATTTAGGTCAGATGGGAAGAAGGATAATGAAGGTGATAACCTGCCGGAATAGTGAGATTGTGAATGGCTTGCCAAGAAACAGGTCTGTGCAACTCAAGCTGGCATTTGAGGAAAATCGCCTGTCGGCCTTGGGTTGTGACTAGATGTGAGAATGTAAGACTTGGTATGCTTTTCAAGGTGCCTCCCCTCCATCCCCTTTAATCCTTCCAGCAGCTTGTGGAGGGAAGGACTGGAGTTATTCTCCCCTGGGACTAGAACCTAGATCTCCTGACTCGGATGCCGTGGTTCTTCCCTAATTACTCTGCTAAGTCAGATAGTACAGGGATGTTGAGCGCCGTATTTTTTCTTAATTGTCAATTAACGAGCATTTATTTTCTCTTCTAACTCCCCTTTTACCTCCCCCACCCACTGAAAACAGAAAAGGGAAAAGAAAAAAAAATCCTTATATAAATATGTTTGGTCAAGCATGTCCAAAAATATATGTCTAATTCTGTACCTTCAGTCTGCCACCTCTCTCTGTGGTTTGACTGTACTTGGGATCAGAAGTTCTGGATTTTAATCTCGGACCGGATGTTTACTACCTTTGTGATTCAGTTTCCTCATCTGTAAAATAAGGGCCTAGAAGACCCCTCCCGATACTTCCAGCTCCAAATCCACTGAATCTCAACTTTCAATGCCACGGGCTCTGCCTCCTCTTACCTCTCTCACCCCCCAGGGAGCCCACAGCCCAGATCACAGGACCTGAAGCTAGAAGGGAGGTTTTTCCATTATGTTATAGTGGGGAGTCCTTTTGTGTATGGATTGGAGTAGGTGACTGGGGAGATTTCTTCCAAATCTGAAATGCCGTGACTTTGTGGAACCCTAAAGATCATCTAGCTTGCCTCCTTCATTTTTCAGATTGGGAAACTGAGATCGTAGGGGTAATCCGACTTAATGACAGTTACACTATTAGTAATTACAGCTGGGATGAGAAGCCAGGTCCTCTGTCTCCAAATTCAGATCATTCTCCCTGACCCCATGTGGCCTCCTGGGCCCCTCCTCTGTCTAGCTGGGGAGGCCAGATTCAC